GACGGGGCTACTCGGGACAATCTCTATTTTGCGTCTGGCACCTTACGAATAGCATATGGAATTTTTTTGACAACGCCATTCGATAGCCCTGCCAATCAGCTATAAAATGAGACTAAACTTTGTTTATGAAATGTTTCATTGTAAGAAGTTATTAACTGTTATTTAAAACTAATCGTTCAAATCTGTCCTGAGTAGCCCCGGTTGAAGGTATACTATATATATATACTTTACTCAATTAAGCTAATTTAGGTCTCTAATTGCTAGTTTTTTTGATTGTATCTGAAATTGGTAGGCGAAAATAGCTTGCATGCCGAATTTCAGATCTCTAGAGCAATCAGAAGTTGGCTAATTTTTGTTGTCAATGTTAACAACAAACAAACGCGAAGCTAAGTTAAGAAAAACGTGTTAAAAAGCAAAACCTGAAAGCTTGGAAAGTCCAGGTACTTTCCACTTTCAATCCATTGTATACATATTTGTTTATGACATCCCTTTCCAGCTGTGATTGGTTGATGGGATTGTTATGTAATCCTTTCCAGCTGCAATTGGTTGTGCCCAAATATGGTATGTGTACTGGTTAACTTAATTATTAAACTAACTTAACTTAATACTTAACTTAAACTTAATCATTAAAAACGATGGGCCTGGAAAATTGTCAAAAAGGAGCGCTTTGGAGAATTTTCAATGCAATGTGTAATTGTGCATTGTATCTTGCTACTGTGGCCGCCCTTACTAAACAGTGCCAGATGCTATCACTTAATAGGCAGTGCTATCAACTCCTGTCAGAAAAATCAATGTTGAAATATCAATGTACTTCAGTGTGGAATTCTTGGATAGTACACGAAGTCTCTGCCATTTTTGGGTGGATGCAGGTCAATCTTCAGACTCTGATTGTGATGTATCCACTTCAGACTGTGTCTCTGTGATAGGTTGTGTGATGGCTTTTTCATGCTATGTGTACTGGTTAATTAAATGCCTCTTGAGAATTCCTCACTGAATTATTGTCCTTGCATGTAAAATCGTGGCAGAGGAGGGGGCCTGCTGTTTTGTGTGTGAGCTGAAAGTTAAATGCAGGAAAGTGGGCAGGTGCTGGTAGGAAAGGTAAATGCAATCTACCTCATTTATATACCAGTATATATGAAGGATGTACACAAATATTATAAAACTTTACAGCTATTTCAATCATTCATAGTGCCTGCAATCAAGATTTATCATTTTGATTAAAGGTCATAGAATTAGGTATAGAGGATGAATCAATGAAGACTGATTTCCTAGTTTTAATGTATGACTTTTTCTTGCAGGTCGAAAGTTCAGTGACAAGCATGAGTGGGTGGAGGTGTCTGGCAGCAGTGGCAAAATAGGAATCACAAATTATGCCCAAGATGCTTTGGGGGATATTGTTTATGCACAGCTACCTGAACTGGATTCTGAGTTCTCTCAGGGAGGTGAGTATTTTAACTGAACTGAATAATACAATTTGTCATATTTTAACTGAACTCATGCTATCCACATAAGCTTCTTTGCCCAGCTCATTATTTCCTGAAACCCCTGGTTGTCCTTTTAAGCTTTTTTGGTCATAATTTAAGGTGCCATTTATCCCTGTTTGTATATTTAATGTATGTACACTTCTGCTGAAAATGCAATGAAAAGCATTAAATATATAGTTAAGTATGACATCTGAGAAATAGGGTGAAATGTTATTTAGTGATTGTTCTTAATATTTTTTTTTATCATGTGCACCTCATTGGGAGCCAAGTTTTTATAGCAACAATTGAAAATATTTACAAAGATGCTTTTGCTCTCATCAATTATTTTCCAAATTTGTGAAACAAAAAATAAAAATGTGAGAAATTAATAAGAAAAAGTTGCTGGGCAACAATTGACTGGCTGGTGAAGTATGAAATAGTTTACCAGTTGTAGACTACATAACAATGCTATCATCATCATCCACAAAATCTCCTCTGGGCAGCCAGTAATGTCATGAATTTAGTCAAAAATGCATTCTAAATTCTGGTTATTAAGAAAGGCAAATTTCCATTAATGCATGAAGTTATGTGTTCAATGACACAAGCTGCTGAACTATCTACAGTACTAGTGCAGCTCAGGAGTGTTTTCAAATGTCTTTGAAGAAAATATAATTGCATTTTGGGAATTTTCTACTAATTGCATTTTCAAAACTTTTTATGAGGCATTTTTTTTATTTATGAGGGCATCTAAGTGCAAGTTTTTTCTTTGCTTCTGCAGGACTCTATTGTGTATAAATATATATATATATTTTTTTTCTGGAGCAGCTTAATTCTCTAGCAATTTGGTGTATTCAAATAGGGTTTTATGTTAGGTCCTGTTTAGGTTTTATGTCTGTCTTTGAATTTTGACTTTTAAAGTGATTTTATTCATTTTTAGTTTAGTGGAACTGGTGATGGAGCTGGACTCCGAAACGTTTTCAATATCGATATGGTGAATTTCCTTGGCGTTTTCTTTGCTTTTAAATTCCTTATTCAAATAAATTATATACTCCTTGTCTTAAGTCAAATTCATGAATATATACAAAGGATTTTCATGAAAACAAACAAATATTCATAGATGAATGTGGCGCTCTGGAGTCAGTGAAGGCTGCAAGTGAGCTGTACTGCCCGGTGTCTGGGAGAGTAACTGAAGTGAACAGTGCTGCAGAGGACCAGCCTTCTCTCATAAACAAGAGCTGCTATGATGAAGGTATGCTATATATTCATGTTCTTCAGCTCGTTATTTGAAGATTTTTATCTTGAATTGTTCTAGCTTAGTTTTTATGCTTTTGTTTGTGTATATGGATTCTCAACTAGCTACCTAAAACTTCCAACGATGCAACCCGGTGTAAGATGAATGAAATGCCTGTGGGTAAACAACTGTGGCCTCTACAGTCTATCATGCATGCATCCCCAAGGGGTATGGCACGCAACCCTGTTAGGTAGTATTGTACAGTAGGTACAATGTAGTGTAGCTGTGGTAAATTGAGTACAGGGCTATGTTAAAGTGTCATTTGTCTAGCCTTCTACTTGGGGGCCAGTAAGGCCTCAATATGAGTTGCATGGGCAGGGGGGCTTCGATATGAGCCTTGCGAGCAGGGGGGCTTTGATATGTGCAAGGCATTGGATACTTACAACTTCAAGGATACCCTCGAGATCAAGATATTGCGATTCATATTTGTTGAATTGGTCCCTTAATTTTGGAATCTTTAAATAAACATATAATATGATACATATTTTCCCGTGTCAATTATTTAAGATGTAGATGGAAATTGTTGTGAGTCTTTGATGGTGAATAAGTAGGTGTGTTGGAGAGATTTTCGTTCCACTATTGCGCGTTGATTTCTGTATGAAAGCCCCTGCATTGGTGCTTAGAAATTTCATTGCTGCCCAATAAAGATAATAATATAAGACGTGTCATTTTGTGGGTAAAATGGCGTTCACTTGATGTTTTGACTTGGATTCCCATGGGATGTCAAGTGAGAATGAACTGACATAAGCATTGTGCATTATTTATTCATAGTCTTGCATAGGATCCCTTTTAACTGCTGTGAATGTAGTCAATAATCTCATCATGATCTCATCCTATCATCAGTACATGTGTATCGGTGCACCTAGACAGCAACTTGGTGTCTGGTTATCTCCAAGTTGAATAGGTTGTACGAATTTATTCAATTTTGGAGAAAGTGACTAGCCTCAATTACGGTTCATTTGCTGTTTTTATGGGAGGGCCAAGTCATTCGTCATCTGCAGCTCACGTAAGCTTACACATCCGCACTATGCCATAACTAAATCTCATAACTTGTAATAATTGTTGTATACAGTGGGGGGAAATAAATATTCGTACACTTGATAAATCGTATTTTAATGAATTTAAGTACACAAACTTAACAGGAAAAGTGATTTAAATTATGTATAGAGACGCATAGTATTCAAAAATACTATCAAAAGAAATTAAATCTCGATGCAACAAAAACAATGCAACATGTTCACTTTTCGGGGTGAAAAAAGTATTCGTACAAAACAATAAATCCGCATTATTTTAAATTAATACTTGGTTGAATACAGGATTTATTGTTTTGTACGAATACTTTTTTCACCCCGAAAAGTGAACATGTTGCATTGTTTTTTGTTGCATTGAGATTTAATTTCTTTTGATAGTATTTTTGAATACTATGCATCTCTATACATAATTTAAATCACTTTTCCTGTTAAGTTTGTGTACTTACATACATTAAAATATGATTTTTCAAGTGTACGAATATTTATTTCCCCCCACTGTATGAAACTTGATTTATTCTTCAGGGTGGCTTTTCAAAGTGGAACTTACCAAACCAGAGGAGTTGGACGGTCTGATGGACGAGACGGCGTACAAGAACTTCGTACGCTCTTTGACGGACAGCTAGCCACGCCACTGCCTCACAAAAATACAAAGTCTCGTCCTAAACTTGATGAAAGTGTGTTTGATCCCAGAGATTACTATTTTTCCCCTATTATATACTGCATTGTGAACGTGATAATCGTGTTATTCTGAACCATGCTTGACGTTGATAGGGCGAAATAGTCTTTCCGAGTTACCAAGTTTCTGTTCGAAATTCTTGGGATTTACATTTCCTGTATGCGTGTTTTTACGTAGTTTCCTTCAACACTTGCTCATATAGAAGTTATGCTTTCCAGAAAGAGTTTTATAATATTACTCATCAGGTTACTCATATGACAGAAAGAATCGAGTTGAGAAGACATTATCTTCGGGAAAACTCGTGTGGAAATATAGCACCTGTTGGCCATACAGTCGAGTTAGCGGGAGAATGCAACTTTAAAGATGTTTTGATTGTAAATGGGTTGTAGTCGCATTAAAATAGTGAATGCAATTTCTGGAAACTACCATTGTGTTGGTCATTTGAAACTTATCCCGTTTTTATGAGACTTTTTTGACCAACTACTTTTCTGAAAGATTGTATTGTACAGCTACACATCTGGCAGCGCTCTGCATGAACATCACATCTACACAGTTCGTGCAGAGCGCTGCCACGTTTTGAGACGTGAGTGAGACAAAGGCCTTGTAACCCTAGCTTGTCGAAGTGATTCCAGTTGATGGATTCTCATAATATGCTTTTGTATTCAGCTGCTTTTGACGTGGCCAGTCTACTTAGTTTCAGATAATCACCACCGGAACATTCAGCAATTGATGTATGGACACTTTGTTATTAACTCGTGAAATACCTTCTTATTATGTATGTTCTGTTACACGTGTTATTGTCACCGTGCCATTCATGTGGGGCCGTATAATCAATGCAGCGCGCAATTATCTTAGACTTTGTTGCTTTGTTTTACCAACTTGGGCGTTGGCTGTCCGGGAGATGGTGCTACCTCATAATAAATGAGACCTGTTCTTGTGTTCATTATTGAATACCATTGCTTCGTTGCATCGTGCGCCTAACGTCATATGCTCTAAACTTCTGTACTCGTTATAGGCCTAATATCATAATTTAGGGAGATATTTTCAGCGTATGTTTGACGATTTCATGATACCTTGAGGCTGTGAATGGTCGCGATATATTCTATTTTTACTCTAAAGAAGTTTGACCTTAGGCTTCTTTATAATCCGCACAAATATAAAAATTCAAAAGTGCAATGAGAATAGCTAATGATACAAATATAAAACAAAATAATGGAATCTTGTTACATGAAGATTGAGCTCCAGAAGTAACTCGCAGGAAAGTGAACTCATCGCCATGTGCGACTTTCATGGGCTATGAGATCGTCTGTTTTGTCCGTTTGACTCTCGAAATAAAAAACTTCTAATAGAAAAAAAACAAGAAATACAAAACTTCGTCATAGATTACCTGATGAAAACCTAGATTAGCTCAAGACTACAAAAAATATGTTAATAAATTTTCTCTCAATAAAGAAGGTTGTAGACTTCTACAGAACATATACAGTGCTTCGACAACAAATACGTCGAGTCGCCGCCTCGCCTGCCACCTCCAGTCAGGACGACCAAGCAATCAAAAGAAGCCCACAGGGAGACTCGCGCGGCACTGGAAGCCTGCACCAGCATCGTGGTGCGGTGCCCAGCATCTTAGCACAGCCACAACGCTACACTTCTGTAGCACGAAGTTGTAAAACTGTTTAACGGTTACAATACGCCCACCATGATTTCTTGCAATGTTTCAACACTGAAAATAATTTTAGGATACTCGCACTGGTAACCCTCGTTATGTCTTCAGAATAAAATAGCATTAGCGGTGGTTATTGTATCCGTGATGACGTTACAGCATTTGAAACGCGTATGGACATCCTAAGGCGCTATAATTTAAATTGTCTCAAATATACAAGAGAAAAACGTAACGACGCAATTATTTCGTCATACATACATCGCCAAGTCTGCTCATGAATTCAACTGCCATGTCATATTGAGGCAAAATATCACATCTGCCCATTGATAAATAATCAAGCGTTTAACTTCCTAATATAATCAGCGAGCACGGAATGTCGCATTTCTATGTTTTACGTATCGTTCTATATTTCTATAGTAAGGTTCAAAAATATCCAGGACATATTTATTGTCCTATGTCAAACATGATCCTGTTGCATTTATTTCCCATTATGTCATTTCGTCGTCCCGGATCATTTCGAGAAGATTCCGGGAGCGCAGCCGTGCACCACAAATTTTGTACACCAATAAGCCCTGAATCGAACGCCTTGGATCTTTCCGGACATCCACCAATCAGCCGTGAATGATATCTGCTATCCGTAACCGATCATTGACATCCTTCTGCTTTGAATATTTTGAGCTCCACAAATATTGATATATTCGAAACGTCGCACTGCAATAAAATGTCATTCGGTAATCTACTTTTTGATCTCCAAGCTCCAGCTAGAAATTTCGTTCGGCTTATCGAAAAGAACAATAAGAAAATCGTAAATAAAAAGTACGCTCTGGTCTTCAACCAAACCTGTATAATCTGGTTCAATAGATACTTTCCAATCGTTAAACTCCATATTGTTCTGGTTAACAGTTTCAAAATCAGTTCTTTCTTTAGATATAAAGATATGCTCCCTGTTCATATGCGATCGTCCCTGGTTTATCAACTTCATTGTGCACAATGTGCATCTGCGTACGTCGGTATGACTTCACGCAATCTTTATTCCAGGATCGCTGAGCATAAGGGCAGGAGTTGTAGGACCGGACAGTTGCTATCGCGCCCACCTCATTTGGCTGTGCGCACTCACGCCGAGCAGTGTGATGTGCGTGTTTCTGACAGTGACTTTAGGGTGTTAGCTTCTACCTCTGGTACTTCAGATTTGCGTATCTTAGAATCATTGTACATTTTTAAGCTTAGGCCCAGTTTAAATTCAGCTGTGAGCTCCTATCCCTTTTGAAATTGTGAATAGATAGGTTTTTATGCCCTATTACTTGTAAATTTAGGTTCTAATTGTGTTCTGTGCTTTCAATTGTATTAACTTATGACTTTCTATGTATATTCTAGATTCTACAAACTGACGATGGAGCTGGACTCCGAAACGTTTTCGATAAAGATATGAATTTTTGTGGACTATTCTTTGCTTTTAAATTTTTAGTCAACTTGCGATTTAAGCAAATAAGTGATATTAATACTTTGATACGTTCAAAATATGGCATTTGTGATGTGGTACTCTAATAGTTTGTAGCAGTGATTTTTGGTGATATGACAGTCACAGTCACACAGTGGCATCCTGTTTTGGTTCATATGTCAAAGTTTAGGAGTTGATTGTATATAATTAACTGCCCAGGATGATTTTACTGTTACAAATACATCTTTACATGAAATTGTTTACTTGCACCTAGCCCCTGATTTACTTGTTAATGAAATTTGTTGGGTGCTAGTCTATAGTCGGCCTAGGGCCCAGAGGGTAGGCTAGCCAGCCTGCTAGGGGTCAGTAGGAATGGCAGCCACAATATGCAATCATTGGCAATGGTTTTGGTGATGCAGCACTATTGGTACAAGTATCATGAATTTATTATTGTAATATTAGTTATTATCATTTATGTATCATTTCCCTCATTTCCTCATAATTTCCCCTATCATTTTTTCTTAGTTTTCCCATAATTTCCCCCATAATTATCCCAGTATTTCCTGCAATTTCCTCATCATTTTCTCTCATCATTTTCTCAATTTTCCCATCATTTTCTCCATTTCTCCATAATTTTCCCATCATTTTCCCACAATTTTCCCATCATTTCCCAATAATTTTCCCACCATTCTCCCATAAGTTACCTATCATAATGAATGCATCAATGAACCCACCAGCATCATTCATTCATCATTCATTCATTCATCATTCATTCGTCATTCATTCAGTCTTTATTTAATCATCATGTAATCAACATTCATATATCATTTATTCATAATCTAATTATTTATTTGGTACTAATTTATCATTTATTTTTCATTTATTTATCAAACTGGAATTTATTCTGTTCAATTCTGCCTTTTGGTTAATTTATACCACTCATATCTATCAGGCACACCCATTTCCCCCACCCATCTGCAGTCAAAATCTTGACCAAAATGTTTTATTTTAGTTACAATAGATAGCCTACAACAAAAGCTTTCTAATGGTACTAAAATCTTTGCAATTGGCTTGAAGGAAACCTAGAAATGATAGTTTTTCAAAAAAAGTGCCAAAAATTGGCATATTTTGGAGATATAATTAAATAAAGGAAAAAATCCATATTTTTTCACTTCTACTTGTATTCCACTTATATTAACTCATTAATGCCGAGCGGTTCCATTTGGAACCAGCAGAAAAAAATGGATTCATAATAAAATTGTATGGTCAAATCAATATACTAGTGGATGCGTAGGTTTGATACACATCTTGTCCATGTTCTGGCAACGTTTGGTTCTGCTGCGCCGACTACTCTCTGCTCAGTTAACATTAAAAGATTGTAAGTACCGGGTGTCAGACAGAAGGGCTTGACATCATTGCAGAGAAAGGTAAGTAGTTCGTTCTAAGAATATATTATTTATAAGTTAGATGCAGAATTTTATCGATAAAGAGAGTACTTTTAATCCTGTATATGCCATTACGTGATATAATGTTTCTAAAGTCTTTTAGATCATGAAATATTTTGTCTGGTTCCAAATGGAACCGACAAAATCTGGTTCCAAATGGAACCGCATTGTTTACGAAGCACTGCAAATGCAGTGCTTCGTAAACAATGTTGACAACGCACCCACAAACATTCGTAAAATGGTCAACCTTCCTGTTCATTTTGAATGAATGGAAGCATTCTATGCTAAAAATTAATTTGTATTCTGCCATGATTAGTTCATCATCAGTATTGTCCATTATGAATACGTATATTACGTATTATCCATTATGAACAACCTTGCTTGATTTACTATCGGAAAAAGTGTTGTTTGAAGAAACGTTATGTTAATGCCGAGCGGTTCCATATGGAACCAAGCTATATTTTTTCACATACAACGAAAAATAAATATATGAACATATTTTTTGTTTATTACCATCACAAATGATAATATTATCACAAGGAACCCCCAAAAAATTCAGTAAATAATTCTCGTCATTAATGGGTTAAAAAGATAACTTTCTAAAAAATTTTCTCTTTTTAACTGTATATATAATTTTCATTAAGATCAGAGGGAAAAAATTTTTTGTGTACATACCTACTTATTGGAATGCAGGACTGGATAGTTTAATAAATTACTTGAAATTTTTTTTTAAAAAACCATGTTTTTCTTGTGGACTAAAAAGTAGAAAAGAGATTATGGCTCACCCCAAAAAACGGGTGTCGGGCAGATTTACGATTAAAGCAAAAAGCACACAACACACGAATTTTGGAAATTTGATGGTAAACATACAGCCCGACCCACGTTTTTTGGGGTGAGCCATAATTTATTTTCTACTTTTTAGTCCACAAAAAAAAATTGTTTTTTTTTAAAGTTTTCTTAAGTAATTTATTTTCTCTTTTTTAGTCCGTTGCTATACATGAAAAACGTTGTTGCGAGCCAATTTACTTGACTTGACGTACGTATCAATGATACGCAGCGTCAGCGACTGCTCGTCTGTAACATCAGCGCCCGCACGTCATACTATATCTACCGTCAACCGGGGCTACTCGGGACAGGCAGGGCTACTCGGGACAGGCCTATGACACGGCGTAAAACTGTTGTAGTAGCAAAACTAATTGGAATATCGCAAAACTAAAAATAGTGGCGTAAACGCAACTATTTTTCCTATCTATCTAGTATAAAGGAAGTCGAAAAATACTACATTTACTTGCTTTGAAAAATTCCTGAAAAAAATGGTGAAAAACTATGTTTTGTAAAGTTACAACTGCTAAGGTATGTAGCAAAAAAAAATATTCGCCGTATTAAAAAA